ATTGTGAGGGCAAAATCATTTGTGAATTGAAAAAATGATAGAGAACTTATCTTTTATTGGATTTCAGATTTTATTTTTGTAAATAGTAGCATAACATTCAATTACTTGTACAAAATTGTATTATTTAATGAAGCTTAAAGAGGAATTTAATGAAAAAATTCCTAAAAATATGTTTTAGACTGTAAATAAGCACCCTCTAAGAAGAAATTTTTTTTTCAAAAATTTTTTAAGACATTTCCTTTCATATAGCACTGGTCCTGCCATCTATGATTGGTATCTAAACATTTTTCTAGTCTGTTTTCTTTATAAAACTGTGTCTGGGCATGTTAAACCTCAGTTGTAAAACTTTTAGCCAATCCTAGTCGAAGGTGTCAATTTCAGTACCATGTTATTCCAATTGCTGTATTTCACATTTGACAAATCATAGGATCATAAGGAAAGCACGTGATGAAACGTTGTTTTGTGGATTTTACAATATGAATGTGGGTAGTGCTTATTATAGCAACTGCCATTTTATGTAGAGGTTGTATTTAGTACTGGCCAATAGTGCTTTTCTATAAGCGTTAGAAAAGTTGCTTCTGGAAAAAACTGCATGGGATGTACGTGACTTTTATTATTTTTATATAGTAGCTTAAGTCATGCTGCATCGTATACCTGTTTATATTAATCATTATATTGAAAAATGAACTCAAAATAGATTTATTTTTTAGGAAAGAAGTTGATCCACAATAGTTAGGGTTAAGAGCTATCGAGTGGCGAGTGCAAAGTCTTTACATGAATTAGACTTAGGGCTTTGAACTGAAAGAGTTTTTTATATTCTTTTGAATTTAAATTTGTAGTTTTAAGTTCAATAATTTAGCATAATTTTATATTTAGTTCATAATAATAATAATAATAATATGATTCAGTATTTAGAATGATAAACTTGTGTGATTTGTACGTAATACTACTAGTACCAGTACCACGTAAGAATTTTATATTTTTCCTTCTTACAATCTTTGCTTTTTATTAAGACCCACACTTCTGTTGTTATTGCGTTGGAATTACAACAGTCTAACTGATATATATATATGTAGTTTATTCTGATATTTTGCAAATGGTTCAAACTCAGTGTACAAGTGACAACAATAAAACCCATATGTTGGTTGTGAAACAGGCTAAATACATTCATCTCAATAATACAGGGAAGCTATGACATTCTCACAGTTGGGGTCTAAATACATTGAAGAGCTTAAGTTTCACATTCCAACATAAATCTTGCCTATAATGAGAGGAATTTGACCAGGACTAATCTTTTAAGTGCTGTAAAGTAATTTTCTTTGTAATTAATGGTTTGGTAATCGTTTATCGTTTGGTAATCTCTTCTGACAGGATGTATCAAGTAACAAGGGGTCAGGCTCAGGCAGTGTCTATTGAAACCACCTGTACTATAAACGGTTACATACATTTGTTAGTAGTGGCAATTAGTTTTGTCTCTATTCTGAAACAACATACACGGACATATGTTGAAATAAACTTGTTTGAAAGTTCAAAGAAATGATATTCAAGTACCGAAAAGCTTTCTTACTATCATATCTATAGTAACATTCAAATATGCACGTGCTCGCGCTCGGTTGAACGAGAGTGACCACCAAAAAGGGTGAGATAGTTTACGACAACGTACAAAGTTCACGCTGCTGACCCCACGG